TGAATCTCTGAGGCAAGAAAATCCGCCAATAAGTGCAGGACCCACCAAGATAGAGGAGAAACTTTGTCACAGGAGGTAGATATTACCACATCCAAGGTAGAAGCCAAACTCGAACAGCTTAATGGGACTAAATCGGGGGGCCCAGATAATATTCATCCAAGAATATTAAAGGAACTGGCACATGAAATTGCAAGCATATTAGCAAGAATTTTTAATGAATCTGTAAACTCAGGAGAATTGCTGGAGAATTGCTAACATAATTCCTATTTTTAAGAAAGGAAAAAAACAGTAATCCAGGTAACTACAGGCCTGTTAGTTTGACATCTGCAGTATGCAAGGTCTTTGAAAATTTTTTGAAGGAGAAAGTAGTTAAGGACATTGACGTCAATGGTAATTAGGATAAAATACAACATGGTTTTACAAAAGGTCGATCGTGCCAAACCAACCTGATCTCCTTCTTTGAGAAGGTAACAGATTTTTTAGAGAAAGGAAACACAGTGGATCTAATTTACCTTGATTTCAGTAAGGCATTTGATACAGTTCCACATGGGGAATTATTAGTTAAATTGGAAAAGATGGGGATCAATATGAAAATTGAAAGGTGGATAAGGAACTGGTTAAAGGGGAGACTACAGCGGGTCGTACTGAAAGGTGAACTGTCAGGCTGGAGAGAGGTTACTAGTGGAGTTCCTCAGGGATCGGTTTTGGGACCAATCATATTTAATCTTTTCATTACTGACCTCAGCACAAAAAGTGGGAGTGTGCTAATAAGGTTTTTGGATGACACAAAGCTGGGAGGTATTGCCAGTACAGAGAAGGACCGGGATATCATACAGGAAGATCTGGATGACCTTGTAAACTGGAGTAATAGTAATAGGATGAAATTTAATAGTGAAAAGTTCAAGGTCATGCATTTAGGGATTAATAACAAGAATTTTAGTTATAAGTTGGGGACGCATCAATTGGAAGTAACGGAGTAAGAGAAGGACCTCAGAGTATTGGTTGACCACAGGATGACTATGAGCCGCCAATGTGATTTGGCAGTCAAAAAAGCTAATGCGGTCTTGGGATGCATCAGGCGAGGTATTTCCAGTAGAGATAAGGAGGTGTTAGTACCCTTATACAAGGCACTGGTGAGACCTCATCTGGAATACTGTGTGCAGTTCTGGTCTCCCATGTTTAAGAAGGATGAATTCAAACTGGAACAGGTACAGAGAAGGGCTACTAGGATGATCAGAGGAATGGAAAACCTATCTTATGAAAGGAGACTCAAAGAGCTTGGCTTGTTTAGCCTAAGCAAAAGAAGACTGAGGGGAGATATGATTGCTCTCTATAAATATATCAGGGGGATAAATACCAGGGAGGGAGAGGAATTATTTAAGCTCAGTACCAATGTGGACACAAGAACAAATGGATATTAACTGGCCATCAGGAAGTTTAGACTTGAAATTAGATGAAGGTTTCTAACCATCAGAGGAGTGAAGTTCTGGAACAGCCTTCCAAGGGGAGCAGTGGGGGCAAAAGACATATCTGGCTTCAAGATTAAGCTTGATAAATTTATGGAGGAGATGGTATGATGGGATAGAGATCAGTTAATTGCCAAAATTAGGCTGACTATTAGCAGTAAATATGCCCAATGGCCTGTGATGGGATGTTAGATGGGGTGGGATCTGAGTACAGAGAATTCTTTCCTGGGTGTCTGGCTGATGAGTCTTGCCCACATGCTCAGGGTTTAGCTGATCGCCATATTTGGGGTCGGGAAGCAATTTTCCTCCAGGGCAGATTGGCAGAGGCCCTGGGGGTTTTTCGCCTTCCTCTGCAGCATGGGGCACGGTTCACTTGCTGGAGGATTCTCTGCACCTTGGAGTCTTTAAACCATGATTTGGGGACTTCAATAGCTCAGACATAGATTAGAGGTTTATTACAGGAATGGGTGGGTGAGATTCTGTGGCCTATGTTGTGCAGGACGTCAGACTAGATGATCATAATGCTCCCTTCTGACCTCAAAGTCTATGAGTCTAAATCTTCAACCCATCCCACTGGTCCCAGACACTGACCTTTCTGTCTCTTCATCTCAGATTGAAGGATCTCTAGAGGGAGAAAAGAAGAAGAGGTGAGATTTCACCCTGTAGTTTTTATTGGTATAACTCTACTGTCAGTCAATGTAATGGGCCCAGACATTGACCTTTCTCACTCTCCATATCAGGTCATAGGGTATCTAGAGGGAGAGGACAGTTTTCACTGTCATGTTTATGGTATAGTTCCCACTATTAATGTAACTACAATTATGAAAACAAGGCAGACAGACAAACAAACAGGACACATGGACAGATCTGTTTCAACATCCCTGCTGCCAGCGTGCCTGGTGCCTGGACCCTGTCACACTCCTGTCAGATGTTGCTGTTGTGGGAGTGGGGGGAGGGAAGATCTCTGTTTATCCAGTTCACTGTTTGCACCCCTCTATGCCCATCCTCTCCCCAGCCCAGACTGTGGGGATTGGGGCAGGAAGTGAGCAACGGGAATGAGGCATTGACTTGGGCTAGATAAGGGACAGGGGTCTGGTTAGCTCAATCCTAGGCCAATTCCTGACCTTGTAGGTGGTACTTGCCCCTGGTCCTAATGATAAGTGGTAACAGCTCCTCCTAGGATCTAGGAAGATGGGGGATGGGGGAAGAATGGGGTGGAGGTGCCTTTCTTTAGCTAGATGCTCAGGTCAGTAGGATCTCAGGCTGAACAAACCTTAGTGTAGATAAGGTAATTGCTAACCTGTCCATTTCCACTGCTTTGCCCTTCTGCAGCTCCTGCTCAGCTAGATTGGAGGGGGTGGTGGTGGTGCAAGCACCGACTAGGGAGCAGAATTGGCCCTAAGAAACCCCCCTCTCTCCTCCTTTGCTTTCTGTTTTTCCTGCAAGCAGCCAAGTTACATATGTTGGAGCTCCAAGCCCAGCTCACTGAGCCCCACCTCAATCTGAGCCAGGCTGATCCCCAGGGAACAGTTCAGAATCACATTCGATTGGGATCCTTGAGTGAGATCTGAAGGGGTGAAACCACTTGACATTTCTCGGTTCACATGTGAAGTCCATAATTTATTCAGCTCCTTATTCATCCTCAGCCCAGCTCCCACTGCCTGAAACTCCTCCAAACATTTAATCCCTGTATCTTTACTTTTGGTTTTGTTTTAAAATCAATCATTCAATCAAGCAATCTCTCTCTCACCAAATTCCCCCCTCTTGTTACTTCACCTTTCTTTCTGTGTTGCTTCCAGAAGCAGTAACTTGCCAGGGGGATGAGAACAGCCAGCATCACCCCCAGAGCCACCATCCAGGGACTGACCCTCGGGAAAAACAGCTCTGCAAGAGAAAGTGCCATTGATTTGGGAGCAAACGCGCAGAATGAAGGCAGGACACAGTGACAGTGGTGACTCTGTGACTAGTTAAAAGAGTCTCACAGGGAAATACACAGTGAGATGTGGCTCCCCTGTGCTTTATTATTAAACCAATGAAAGTCCCAGCCTGGTTACTGAACATGGTTAATTAATGGGAGGGGGTGGGGTGGACTCTATGTTACACTTACCTCCCACTGGCATAAGTTCAAGCATTCCCTAGGTCGGGGTAGTCAGTAGGAGGACTGCGGGCGAAATCTATACTACTGGATGCTTTTGAATGGACCCTGGAATCTTTTTATTGACTTATTATTATCATTGTTTTTTTTATTATTATTATTTTCTCTGGAGTCTGGACCTTGACTACACCTTGACCAAGAAATTTGGACCTTGGCAAAAAATAACCAATTATCCTGGCCCTAGGCTGCTCTAAGTGATGCCAAGGCTGCATCCAGTGCAGACTGGCCCTCAGAATCAGAGAGTTGTGACCTGATACCCCTGACTCTCCTGTGCTCACTGGGGTTCAGTTACACAAGAGAGTCAGGCCCAAAATATGTTAATACAGAATTTTAATAAAAACAAAACTTGAGCCCGGAAATTTAGAGTAAAAATTCCTCTAGAGTCCTCTTCCCTGGGCCTTGGAGCAAAGGCTGACTAGAGAGTCCTTGTTAAGTGATTGGTGTATTGAAAACTGTAAAAATTATGAACTGACACTTTAAATACAGAGGAGTTTCTTGGTGCTGCTGGCAGGCTAGGGGGCTCTGTAGGGAGCTTGCATCTGGGTCCTCTGAAGTCACTCTGCAAAGAGCAAGGTGGGCTGAGTTCTGGTTCTCTGCCTTAGGGAGCAGCCTGCTTTTTCTCTCTCTGTATTTGGCTCTGGTGTGTTAGAGTTCTGGATTCTTAGAAATAAAGCAGTGTTACATTGCAGCCTTACAGGAAGAGTATTTATGTTTTGTTTTCAACTCTCGGTGTGTATGCCATGAACATAACAGTCAGGTAATACTGGGCATATCATAGACTAACCAGCACTTTGAGATCTCAGATGAACAGTACTTTACAAATGCAACATTTTTATTATTATGTAGATGAAATATTAATTCAGTATTAACAAAGTTATTTGGCAGATAATAATACATAAAATCAGGACCTTTTCCCCCTAAAAAATAAGATGCTCTTAGGTAAGATTTTGTTTCTGCATATTTTGGGCCTGAACTGTTATTGCTGGTATTTTCAGATGTAATCTAAATAGCAACGCTCAGACCATACCCAGGGGTCTCTTCTGCTGTTTGGGAAAAATGACTTTTTTAGACAGATTTTCATAAACACTTAGCATCCAGCACCTCTCACTGAGAAAAGAGGAGAATTCCCTCCCCTACCCCTGCTGATTGTGATGGTCACAGCACACACAGAGAAGTTAGTTACAAACATAAATACTCCTGCTTGGAGGTTGCAGCGTAACACGACTTTAGGTCTTAGAATCCAGAATATTAACACACAAGAATCCACAACAGAGAGAGGGGCTGCTCCCTAAGGCAGCGGGCACAACTCACCTCACCCTGCCTTACCTTGGCTTGTCTATAGGAACAGTTAGTGCGTGGCATAAATCTACCTTGCACTAGCTTGCTGCGCACTAACAGGCTGTGTGGATCCTGCTACACCACACTAAAAGTTCCCTGGTGCACTTCGAACTGTTCCCATTTCAAAGCAGGACAGATCAAAGTGCACTATGGAATTGTTAGCGCATGTAGTAAGGTCCACACAGACAGTGCGCACCAGGCTAGAGTGAGGCAGATTTACCCCTTGCCACAAACTAACTGTTCCTGTAGACAAACTCTGATTCTGCTCGCTTTGCTGCAGAGCCCACTAGCCTGCAAACAGGACCTGGAAAACCTGCACCCCAAGCCCCACTCTTAAATTGATAGTGATAGCTTGCAGTTCCAACACAGTCCTCACTACAGCACAAGAACAAAGGAGAATTCCTTCCTCTCCCCGCCCATACCCCCAATTGAGAAGAACGATGTTTGCTGGGTGCTGAGCTCTTATGAAAATCTGGCCCATGGCATCCCAGCTTGTAAGGTGCTAAACACCTTCAGCTCCTACTGGAGTCAAAGAGACTTGAGAGGTTGCTCAGGACTTTCCGAGACGTGCTCAGCACATTGAAGGTCCAGGCCAATGAACAGGAGACACAACGATAAATACTCTCCACCAACATCTGCAGCATCTCAGTCTATCCATGTGCAGCACGGACGGTCACTCACCTGCTATGGAAATCGCTGACTCTCTCTCCTGGTTGAGTTGCGGGTTCCTGACACAGCAGGACACTTTCTGGTTGGATTCTTCTGTTATAACAGTGGCAACCACTGTTTGAAACAGGCCATTGGCCTCTTGGGATATGTTTTCAGAGGTTGATGGTAAGTTCTGACCCTGGAGATCTCTCAACAGCACCTCGGGCTTTGGGTACCATCCGGCTGATTGACATATAATCCGGATCCCTCCATCCTGATGTCCCTCCACAGAGATGACAGGAGCAGAGCCCAAACCTACAGAAAAAATAAATGAACTTGTGATAATCCTACAGTGACCAGTAATGAGCAAAAAGTTTTATTACACTGTTATCAAAAGCCATTTCCCATTAAATTAATAATCGAATGTGAGTCCACGCATGCGGCTGGTCAGTTAAGCTGGTCAGATTCCCATTTAATATACAACAAGTAAAGTTAATGTTAATGTCAGGGCTGTTCTATGCTCAAACTTGCTCCAGTTTAGTTAAAGCGTCTGTCTACACTACGAGATTAATCCGAATTTACAGAATTCGAATTTTGGAAACAGATTGTATACAGTCGAATGTATGCAGCCACACTAAGCACATTAATTCGGTGGTGTGTGTCCATGTACTGGGGCTAGCGTCGATTTCCGGATCATTGCACTGTGGGTAGTTATCCTATAGCTATACCATCGTTCCCGCAGTCTCCCCCGCCCATTGGAATTCTGGGTAGAGATCCCAGTGCCTGATGGGGCAAAAAACATTGTCGCAGGTGGTTCTGGGTACAGCCTAACCCCTCCCTCCATGAAAGCAATGGCAGACAACCGTTTCGCGCCTTTTTTTCTGGGTGAACACTGCAGACGCCATACCACGGCAAGCATGGAGCCCGCTCAGCTCAAGATAGCAGTCATGAACATTGTAAACACCTCGCGCATTATCATGCAGTTTATGCTGAACCAGGACCAGAAAAATGAGGTAAGGAGGAGGCGGCGACGGCAGCGCGGCAACAAGAGTGATGAGGACATGGACATGGACACAGAATTCTCTCAAACCGCGGGCCCTGGCGCTTCGGAGATCATGTTGTTTATGGGGAAGGTTCTATCTGTGGAACGCTGATTCTGGGCGCGGGATACAAGCACAGACTGGTGGGACCACATAGTGTTGCAGGTGTGGGATGATTCCCAGTGGCTGCGAAACTTTCGCATGCATAAGGGCACTTTCATGGAACTTTGTGACTTGCTTTCCCTTGCCCTGAAGCGCCAAAATACCAAGATGAGAGCAGCCCTTACAGTTGAGAAGCGAGTGGCGATAGCCCTGTGGAAGCTTGCAATGCCAGACAGCTACTGGTCAGTCGGAAATCAATTTGGAGTGGGCAAACCTACTGTAGGGGCTGCTGTCATGCAAGTAGCCAAAGCAATCACTGAGCTCCTGCTACGAAAGGTAGTGACTCTGGGAAATGTGCAGGTCATAGTGGATGGCTTTGCTGCAATTGGATTCCCTAACTGTGGTGGGGCGATAGATGGAACCCATATCCCTATCTTGGCACCGGAGCACCACAGTACCCAGTACATAAACCGCAAGGGGTACTTTTCAATGGTGCTGCAAGCACTGGTGGATCACAAGGGACATTTCACCAACATCAACGTGGGCTGGCCAGGAAGGGTTCATGACGCTCGCGCCTTCAGGAACACTACTCTGTTTAAACGGCTGCAGCAAGGGATTTACTTCCCAGACCAGAAAATAACTGTTGGGGATGTTGAAATGCCTATAGTTATCCTTGGGGACCCAGCCTACCTGTTAATGCCATGGCTCATGAAGCCATACACAGGCAGCCTGGACATTAGTCAGGAGCTGTTCAACTACAGGCTGAGCAAGTGCAGAATGGTGGTAGAATGTGCATTTGGCCATTTAAAAGGTCGCTGGTGCACGTTACTGACTCGCTCAGACCTCAGCCAAACCAATATCCCCATTGTTATTGCTGCTTGCTATGTGCTCCACAATCTCTGTGAAAGTAAGGGGGAGACCTTTATGGCGGGGTGGGAGGCTGAGGCAAATCACCTGGCTGCTGATTACGCACAGCCAGACACCAGGGCGATTAGAAGAGCACACCAGGAAGCGCGGTGCATCAGAGAAGCTTTGAAAACCAGTTTCATGACTGGCCAGGCTACCGTGTG